TATCGGTTATCGTTGACCTTACAAGCTATCGCGACTGTCGACCCCACGCTTACTGCAATACTATGGGCTGGACTGTTGCGAGGGCCTCACAACAGTCCTGTCCGGCATGTCTTCGTAAAGGGAGCCGTTAACCAGTGTATGGATGCAATTATGTGTCCACCGAGCTCCGCAAACCTCTGGTGTTAGTGCTGCTGTTTCTTTGGGCTCCGGCCACAACCTTTGTGCAGAAACTCGGCGTGCCCAGAGCGGATCTACGTAGGTCTGGCTCAATATGAAGGCCCACCTAGCGTGCTCCGGCATGCCGGCCCAGGTTGCGAAGTGGTGCAAGACCTGTGGACTTGGCTCAGACTGCGGCACGAGTCCAGAAAGAAAGGCATCCTGCAGAGGTAGAGGTGGCGTTGACGTCTCAGCACCTGGCGATAGAGCCGGCTATGGCGACGTTCAGAGAGGCCGTCGCGCCTGGATGTATACACAACGGATGCAATGCGGTGGTGTTTGCTTCTCTCCCTCTCCCTCTCTCCCTGTCTCCGTGTGTTTTCACTGTGCTCGAGTCCCACGTTAGTGAGAGTTGCTCGACGCCGTTCTGATTCCGCAGCGAAGACAAGTGCCGAAGAGCCTTGAGGGTCCCCACCTCCCTTGCTGGCGGGGGCCTCTGTCTGGACTGGGGTCTTCTTATAACAACCCTGGTTCTCTTGTCGCATCCTGCGTGGCCACTACAGTAATTGGTATCAACTGGGCGAAATCAATAGTGGGGTGCTGGCACACTACATGGGCATGCGACACCTGGGACGCCAATATGCCAGAAAATGCCTGTGATCCACCCAAACTTCTGCAAAGGCTTGCCAAGAACTCGGAAATCATGCACAAAGTAGATGGAACCTTCAGATTAGGACCAACTATGCTGACCACTTGTCACGTTGCTGATATTGAAACCACGTTTCCTGACTGTCCTGACATGACTGAATAAATTTGACCACGACAAGGTACGGCGGCCTGTAAACTGCGGTATATACACGAAGGAGTCGCAGACCTCCTTCTGCACGGCAGACATGCCTTCCCCTGCCAACGTATCGCGGCAACAAGCTGGCAAAAAAAGCTGCAAACTGCCAACTGTGTGGGGCACTGTACTCTCTACACTACAAGCTTCGGCGACATGGTGCCACCATGCCAGCATTTCCAACTCTAAACCTATCGTGATGTCAACTTGCCTGCATGCGCAGGGCATGTCTCGACAGTCTTTACGGATACTCGCTAAACCCCCGGCAAACTTCTCACGGCAACCCGACCTTCGTTGCCAAGCATAAATGCCGTAGAGCCTACAAACGGATGGCTCGTGACCTTAGAAAGCCGATGGTCTCCCGACTATCCATCCGTCTCGACGCAAAGCAGAGCCCAAGCTCAGGACAGGCTGCGCTGTGTCATCGATTTCAATGCCACATATTCTTGCGCCTCTCGCAGAACCAGGCAAGATCAGCATCCAGAAGAGTTATTGCGGCTCCTGGCCCGCAAAGATTTTTATGTACACGTCCAGACATCGTTCTATTGACTTGGCTTCTTCGAAAATGAATCTCTCTCTGCCACTGCATTTTTGTGGTCACACTTCATGAATCCGCACTACACCCGCCAGCTTGGCCTGTTTAAGACAACGCATTCACAGAACTTCAACCAGAACTTCAACATATTCTTAAACCTGCATCCTGGAGACCGACGGCGGAAACGAACGCCACATTCTACACACGAGCCCAGTGGTGTTGTCACGGGTACTTTCATCATTATGATGAACAGGAGCGAGCAGTCTTACCCGTAGGTGCTGGCGAGTGTGCTGATCTAGGTACGCATCGAGCTGAAGACGGTGGCGCATAGTGCTGTGCTACTGCACCTAAGACAAGACAATAACGCTTCTGAAAGGACCACATAGGAAAGAACATGTCCAGCCCAAACAAGCCCAGCAATTCAACACCTGTCGTGCAAATTCAAGAAGCACAGAGTTGCTATGGAGAACAGCAGTCCGCAGCCTGGATAAAACCAACTCTGCACGGAGACGACAGAGAACGCTAGGGCAACAGGTCAACCGTTGAAACCAGCAGTCAGCACTGCAAAGGCCGTAGTGCATGCTATGCTTGTGCCGACAGCGAGTTCCTTCGTTGCAGACAATTCAGAAACAAAATGCTTTTGTCGTGGATACGATGGCGCATAATACTTTCGTTCAAGTCTGACAAGTTCTGAAAGCCCAGAAAATTGTGAAAAGCTGTTGGGAAATTTGCCGAAGAAGGGAATGCTCCAGGTAACATCGACTCTTCATGCAGACGCTAGCAGCGATCCGAACCCAAATACCTGCCTGCCTGCTTCATATTTGGCGCCCAGTCCAAACAGTTTCTCCCTCATTGATACACAGACTGGGTTCCACACCCCTCGATCGCAGGTCGTCTTTGGCTGCCTGTCGGCATGGGATGACATCATCCCGATGCTGTTTGTCTAACTACTATCCAATACTGCACCTATTTCGACCAGCAGCAATACCAAGACGTCCGCTTGGATTCCTGGTACGACGACCCACAGACCGTCGGCCGGAATCACCCCAAGACTTCTTGAAGGGCCTTCAACACCGCAACAGGGTGCGGGACAGTGTCGTGTAACTGCCGAGCAACTGAACAACACCTGCCACATTTTCTGTCGGCCTGCAGCGTGTCGAAATGCCGCACGTTGGCCTGCAGCCAACAAAACGCCAACACCGAAAGTCTGCAGTGGTCCTGTGCATACTAGGATGCCGATCTGACGAACGTCCAAAAACAGGCCAGCCACGCTACACCTAGCCCACCTCACCAAATATCAGCTGACTGCAGTCTCGGGCGCGTGTGCAGAAGTTCCTTGATTGCCAAAAGTCCTGGGTAGCGAACATGCACGGCACACACAGCCAATCGCTTTCGTGCTCTGCAGGGAATGCGCTGAACGCATGCTGAAGGAACCCGACATCTTACACTATTCGTTCTGCGACCTCTGTTCGGCAATTTGGCAGACCCTAGGAAGTGTCTGTGGAAGAAGATCACAGCCTGGCCAAGAAATTCATTTGGTGCTGCTAGGACTCGACAATTTCTTTGCTCCGACGACCAGCACCTCGAAGATCAAGAGAGCAGACGAGGTCAGGTTTGTACTTGTGATGGTGATACACACTTACGAAGAGTGGGAAGACGCAAAGAGAGCCAAATGCGAAAATAACCGCACTGCAGAAGCAGCCTCCTGTACACGGCGTGCATGCCGCCACACCAGCAGGTTTATTTATTCCTGCTCGATTGAATGTGTACAGCTACATTCTGGTCCACGCATGGTCTTCGTTTGCCTTCCTGTGCGAGTCCATCCCTGCGCCTGCTGTCCCACCCAACTATAGTAGCTATAGTTGATACGCTCACTGACATGAGCTACAATATAGGGTCAGACCTATGTTGCAGCAATTCCGTGTTGAACCGCAGTGTCGCCGCAAACCCCAGATCCCCAACATCTTGCAAGCCCCACAATCTTCGCGCATCCTTCGGCCGGCCTCTGAGACTCCGAATGCACACGCGGATCTCAACAATGTGCCTGAAGCCCGAAGTACAAGACTCACTGGCATCAGGTTTCAGATTGAATACCTTACGAACATTGCAATCTCCTGCAGTTCTTCCCATGGCATGGGCCCCAACCCCTGCTTCACCAGATGGTCAGGACCGAGCCCAGAGCCGAAATTCTGTTTCTTGCTGACCTCGGCCGGCTTTGGTTAGGATGAGCCTTTTGCGTCACATGCGCAGCACACGCCAACTCCAAAGCTCAAGAGCCCCAAGGCGCAGGCATTGTAAACCAGCAGGAAAGATTCGGGGCGCTTGGTGTCCTGCGTCCTCTTGCCCAAGACATCGCTGCAGTTCAATGCAATGCCATGTGCAGACTGCGCTCCTGTGTGGTACAGACTTCAAAATCTTAATTACCAACATCACGAACTCCAGCAACAACGCCGACAACGACGACGACAAAACCGGCAGCAGGGGCCGCGACGACGACGACTAGCCGCTACGCAGGCCACTGCCACTACCTTGTTGAATACAACAGTCGCAGAAACAACAAGAAGAAGCACACGCACAAGCAAGGAGGAGGAGGAGCAGCGGCAGCAGCGACGGCGACAGCGACAGCGACAGCGACAGCGACAACCACAACACCACCACCACCACCACCACCACCACCACCACCAACAACAACAACAACAACAACAACAGCAGCCCCGCCGCCGCCAGCAGCGCAGCAAACACTACAACCAAAACCATCACTGCAGACATCATTCTTGCCAGAATCACCGCGGGTCACCAGAATCGTCATCAGCATCGAAGACGTGGCTACAGCGTGACGGAGAACGACCAAAAAGTAAGGGCACTGCACGACTGCCAGACAGGGCAAGTAGAGCAACAAAGCTAGCAAGCTCGTGACAGCTTCATCTCTGAGCTCACCCACTCCCCGGGAAACAAACAGACAATGCCGCAACCATCCAGTGCGACCACGGTTCGAGTAGGGAACTAGATAGCCTTCGAAAGACACTCGTCTTGCAGTTCCCGTCCGCAATAAGCTTTGAAAGGCCTCTAGCCCTGGTCATCCCCGAAATTTCTCAAAGCCCTGAATGCTTTGCACATGTGTCTGCATGTGTCTGCCTCAGGTCTGCCGGTCCCGGCGCAGACTGGGACGCCTCGCGACGAGGATGCCAGTTCGTCAAGGCTTCTTGATTACAGAAATTTGAAGCATGCGTGCTCGGCAGCAGAGCAAGAATGAGAACAGCTTCAGAAAACAACTGGCTCAAAACAAGGAACCAAGAAATCAATCGATGCTCGTGATATTAGAAAGCATTTGACAGGTGCACTCGAGAGTGAAACTGCTGTGTACGTGAGCGTAGATGTGTACCCAGAACCAGGCATCGTGCCCGAAACGCGCACCAGTACCACTTGCAAGACTCGTGATGCAAGCATGGCTGCTCGCAGGCTTCTCCCCGTCCCGGTGCAAGACACGACTTTGGACAATGAACAACTACCCACATCAAGAACCATCGTGGTGGGGCCTGAACGCCCTCCATGGCTGCTGCTCTGCCATCGGGTGCCAGCATATCCCAGCAAACAGCCCTTGAAGTAATCTCGGATGCTATCAGATCAAACGACTCCTGGGGGTGCCCGATCACTTGTGTCTTTTTTTTTGGGTTCACTTGTGTCTTTTTTTTAGGGTTCGCTTGTGTCTTTTTTTCTGGGTTCGCTTGTGTCTTTTTCCTCCTTCGGAAGCAACAGTCTCGAACGAGAGGTGCGTT